AATAAAGAAGTTAAATTGTCTCTATTTGCAGATGATATGGTCTTATAGTTAGAAAACCTTAAAGACTCCACCAAAAAAAATTAGAACTGATAAATGAATTTATTAAAGTTGAGAATACAAAATCAACATGCATAATCAGTAGCATTTCTATACATGAACAAAAATCTATCCAAAAATAAAATTAAGACAATAATCCCACTTCCAATAGCTACAAAAAATACTTAGGAATAAATTTTAACATAGATCTGTATACTGAAATCTATAAACATGGTTGAAAGAAATTGAGGGCACAAATAAATGGAAAGATATCACATGTTCATGAATTGGAAGAATTTATATTATTAAAATGTCGTTATTACCCAAAGCATTTTACATATTCATTGTAATCCCTATCAAAATTCTGATGAAATTTTCCACAGAAATAATAAAAACAATTCTAAAATCCATATAAAACCACAAAAGATCCCAGAGAGCCAAAGCAATCTTAAACATAATGAGCAGAGCCAAAGGCATCATATTATCTGCCTTGAAAATCTACTACAAAGATGTAGCACCAACACAGCATGGCATTGGTATAAAACCAGCACTTAGATCAGTGGGATAGATAGAGCGCCCAGAAATTAATCCTCACATTTATGGTCATTTGACCTTTGGAAAAGATGCCAAAAAGTCACAGTGGGGAAGAAGGTCTCTTGAATGAATGATACTGAGAAAATTGGCTATCTGCATGAGGGGGAATGTAATTATATTCTCATCTTAAAACATCATCAAAAATCAACGCAATGCAAAGGGATTAAAGATTTAAACATAAGACCTAAAATTATAAAACTACCCCCCCACCCAAATAGGGAAAAAGCTCAATGACTTTAGTCTGGGTAAAGATTTTATTTGTTATCACCCTATATAACAGGCAAGAAAAGTAAAAATAGACAAATAGGATGATATCAAACTAAAGCTTTCTGCAAAGCAAAGGAAACAAATAAATGAACAGACAACCTTTGGAATAAGAAAATATATTTGAAAACTTTATATCTTCCAATTCATGAACATGTAATATCTTTCCATTTTTTTGTGCCCTCAATTTCTTTCAACCATGTTTTATAGATTTCAGTATACAGATCTTGGTTAAATTTATTCCTAAGTAATTTTTGTAGCTATTGAAAGTGGGATTATTGTCTTAATTTTATTTTTGGATAGATTTTTGTTCATGTATAGAAATGCTACTGCTTATGCATGTTGATTTTGTATTCTCAACTTTAATAAATTCATTTATCAGTTCTTTTTTTGGTGGAGTCTTTAGGGTTTTCTAAATATAAGATTATATCATCTGCAAACAGAGACAATTTAACTCCTTCTGTTAGTATCCAAAATATATAAAGAACACAACTCAATAGCAAGAAAATGAATACCTTGATTGAAAAATGGACAGGTTTCTGAAAAGACACTTATCCAAAAAAACATAATGAATAAACAATAGGTATATTTTTAAGTACTCAACATCACTAAT